GGCCTCTGTTTATCTCAGCTAATCACTCTGCACAGAAACAGTTAACTTCAATACTATAACATAACATAACTATTCAAGTGGTGCTTGACTTTATAAAACTGACTGCCACAGTGCTGTGGCACCCTATTGACCACCACCGTGTAAAGTGGTCAATAGGGTGTTCTTAGTGGTTGCTAGGGGATCCAGGGGAATGTGATGGGGTTGCTAAGTAGTTGATTAATGGTTGATGGGGGTTCTGAGTGTTTGCTAGGGTGAGGGATAGTACCTAGATGCCTGCTAGGAACTGCTTTGGATAGTAGCTAGGGCGCAAAGTGGTTTCTAGGTTGTTCTAGGTGGTTGCTAGGGTGATGAATAGTAGCTAGATGCCTGCTAGGATGTTTTAGGTGGTTGCTTGGGTGGAAAGTGGTTGCTAGTGTGATGGGTGATGGGTAGTTGCTAGATGCCTGGTAGGATGTTTTGGAAGGTTGCCAGGGTGCAAAGTGGTCACTAGGGTGTTCTTAGTGGTTGTCAGGTTATCCATGGGAATGTGATGGGGTTGCTACGTGGTTGATATATGGTTGGTGTTCTGGGTGATGTCTAGGGTCTCCTGGTGGTTGCTAGGGTGTTCAAATGGGGGTTGCTGGTGGTTGTTAAGGTATTCTGGTGATTGATTGTGTCAGAGTCAGATTGTGTTCTGAGTGGTTGTTAGGGTGTTCTTAGTGGGTTCTGAGTGACTGCAAGGGGTTGCCAGAGTGTTCTTGGGGGTTGCTAGCTAGCAGATAGCGTGCTTTGGGTGATTGGTAGGTTTCCAGGGGGTTGCTAGGATGTTCTTGGGGGCTGCTAGGTGGTTAATAGGTGGCTTCTGGGGTGTTTTATATGGTTGCTAGGTGATTGCTTACTAGGGTAAGTTAAAATAGGTGGAATTATTCTGGTCTCTACATGATATGACACAAGTCCCACCCTCACTGTAAATCTACAGGATTTTTTTGTTTTGTTTTGTTTTTATTTTGGAATTGAGAGTGTAAAGTATCATTTGTGACAAGTTACAAGCCAAAGTTCAGTGCTTGGGGTTATGGGTCTCTCACATTATAGTGCTACTTGCCTTATTTCCAATTAAATAGTTTTTCTGCACTTACCCCTTACTCAAAGATAAACGACTGTGTCATTAGAGTGGAGGAAAATGGCCGGATATATGTCCATAGACATAATTAAAGTCGATCTGACATGAATATATATGACAAAGTGACATTTTAATACGCCTGACTCTGACTTAGTGCTTTTAATGCTGAGCTTGTCTCTGTGTGAGATACAGATCTAATTATTTCTGTGTGGGCATGATGTGTGCGTCTCTGGGTAAGGTTTGACAAGGGGCTGGTGCAGATGCAAAACCGTATACCTGAGTGGGTAACGTCTTTTGTTTTTTTGCCTCAGCCACTCCCCATCACCACAGCCAAAGCTGTCATGGACGTCCCAGAGGAGTTCTGGTCATGACTCCTCCTCGGTTGGGCTTTGGGGGGGGTAGCATCTACATCTCAATCTGATTTGTGATAGGAGGCCCCACGTGTGTGAGGAAGAGAGAGAGAGAGAGAGTCGGACGAAACCAGTAACCAAATAAGCTGAGCCGAGCAGATCTAGAAGGCAAGAGAGCCAGAATGAGATATAGAGGTTGAGCCAGTGAGGGAGAAAGAGAGAGAGTGTGTGAAGCTGGCTGGCAACAGCACACATGCTCAAGGAGAGAAAAGAGGACAGCAATTATTGTATCCAACACCCTATAGCTCCTGCTGCTGTCGGCGTCACAAACCTGCTCTTCTCTCAACCTGGCCTCATCCCACTGACTTATATGATTGATCCGGGGGAAAATGCTAAAGTTCCGCGCGGACCGGCGAGTGAGGTAGGTAAGGCGGGCTGTTGGGAGCGAGTCAGACAGCGGTGTGAAAGGAAACTCTGAGCTGGAGGTCAGGCAGGACTGCAATGCAGTGCCAGCTTTCTCGTGGACTGTCTTAATGAGATATTGAGGTTTATTCGTGTGAAGTTTGTGTTGCCTCGTGTGTCCTTCCTGGATTCCAGTGAGGACGCCTTTATATGCTCTTTTCCGATGCTGTTAAATAATTTCTTGCTCGCTAAAGACTCCAGCATTGATTAGTGGTCATATTAGCGATGTTTATGAGCGGATAAATGTTGTGTGCTTCTATGTAGGTTTATAGGTTACACACGAGCGCGTGCGATCAGTTGCAAGACCACATCGGAGTATGCACATGTGCGCTCACACACCTCAACCTGATTTCGGTGGCTAAGCTGTTGTGCTAGATTTATCCTCTAGTGTTTTATGGAGTGCTGGGCTCTGTTGTATGTATGTGTACCTTTTTGGTGTCAAGAGGTAGATGCCTTTGGCATGAGTGTATTCTTGGCTTGTGCTTCTTGTCCTCGACCTATCAGGCCGCATATCTGTGTGTATACAGAGACTGCACAGACTTTGAGTTCTGTTTGTGTTGTCCTTAAGTGGTTGATGCCAAGAATTTGGCATGTTGTTTGAGCTCACTTCTATGGCCCACTTAAACAACACCGAAGAGGTGAGTCTGCTGTATGTAGGAATAACAATAAACTGAAGAGAGCAAGATGAATATAAGGACCTCAAGTCTAGTGTCTTTACAGGAGATCCAAGAAATGGTTAACTGAGGATCGCCTCCTAAATTTGCTAGTACTGTTGGCTAGGTTTTTAACCTTTTCTCTGTTAATGAAATTAAACAGAGCGTGAACATTTATGCAACTGTACATTAATATTTCATGCAGGAAGATTTGTTTAGTTTAAGATTGGTTGTTGGTTGTTAACTAATTGCTGTAACATGCTAGCACCTTGACAGTATAGACATGTAGCTCAAACAGCAGCTAGCAACTGCAAAAACAGATGAAATGTAGTTAATGTTGTTCTGGACAATCTCCCAGTTGTGTAAATGTAGACATTTAGAACTTTGAATCAAGTTAGAACAAAAGTTTTAACCCCAGGATAAACACAGTGTGAAAAGCCTTATAGAGGTCATTGGGTCATTTTAGCTTAGCAATCATATTTGGTTTAAATATGGATTTAACTCTAGCTAGTTGATTATTATCATCATGTGAAGCTCACTATATTTCACAGTTATAACATTAAATGCATTATATTTATTGTCTTCATTTGTTTAAATTTACCTTGACTTGAAGACAACAGGGAAAAATAATTGCTAAATTATGCAAATAATAAAATGCAATTAGCCATATACTGTAATTCTGCATCATTAGAGTAGTATAATAAATAGGCTTATAAACTTTTATAAGGAAGAAGAAAATATTTGCTATATAAATTGATGTCGGTGTGCAAGGCCAGCATGGATAGGTTGCATAACATGCTCTCATTCTCATTTTTTAACTCTTTTTAATACGTTGAATTAGCTTTTTTTTAGTGTATTTTTATTTTGGTTTAAGTTTTACGTTTTTGTCATTTTTATAATTCGTTTTTAAATATTACTATTTAACTTTGTTTTTATTTCAGTTTTAGTGTTAGTCATTTTTGTACAGCATGAGCTTATTTTATTTTCAGTTAGTTCGTTTATAATTTTCGAGCTTCATTTTTATTTCTTTTGTTCATCTCATATTTAAATTGTATTTAATTTCAGCTTTATTTCAATTAACAAAAACAATTTTAATAGTTAAGTTTTAGTTCACATTAACAACACTGCACTAGTCCAAAGCAAAATCTGCTTCCTGAAGCAAAACAAGTCTAAATTTCACTTTACTCTAACTGTAAAATGACTAAAATTATATCTTATGGCCTGGATCTCCTCTAAATGCTAGTTTTGATGTCTGTGCATCCATAGATCTCTGGGTAAAACAGGTTAACCAAGCCCTCACAGAAAACAGAGAAAAAGTATTTGCTTGCTCGCCTCTTGTAAAAATCAATAGCCAGGAAAGTGACAGGCAGCAATGAAAACACTTGTAGGATTTACACCCGAGAGACGAGTTACAAGTGTACATCCACAGGGAGTACACACGAGCCGAGGTCAGAGAAATTGTGACAGGAAGTTGAACTCCATGCAGGCTTCAGACGTTGTATATGGACAAAAGATATGTTTTCTCTGAATACAGAGTCAATATAATAGGTGTATATGAACTCTGACATGTTGTTGTTGATATTTTGCCATTGAGCGCAAAGCTGTCCACACTTAACACGCTCTTTCACGAGGACTGACAGCCATTAATTTCCACAGCAGTTGTCTCATATGGACTTACAAAGAAAGTGGCCATTTATTGATCGGATCTGATGTTGTAATGCTGAATTATTAATAAAGAAGGGATGTGCCTGCTGTGAAACAGGTTTGAAGCCACTAGAACAAGTCGTGGAGCATCTTAAACAAATGGAAAATCAGCTCCAGCTGCTGTTGGCTTGATATTCTACCAGACACCGTTTTTAAAAAAGATTGTTGTGGCTTTATTGAAATGTTTTTGTCAGTGAAATCCTAAGTGGCTTTTATTTTCTTCTCAGTCAAAATGACCCTAACGGAACAGCTGGATACCAGCAAGTGATCCAGACACACCTTGAAGAGAACGGACCTTTGAAACCCTTGCTGTGAGTGATCTGTTGTTTATTCATTTGTAAATATGCTGCTAGCTTTATACTCCCATTGCTAAATCTGTGACATGTTGAATAAGAGCTTATCATAAAAAGCATTTCAGCTTGGATGCATGCTTAATTATTTCTGAAAACAAGCTCACCAAGAATCTTCCTTCAAAATTGACTACAATTATACTCTTAAAAATTAAGGTTCTTTACAGGCATTGATGGTTCCATGAAGAACCTTTAATATCAATGGAAGCTTTTCATTCCACAAAAGGTTCTTTATAGTGGAAAAGGGTTCTTTAGATTATAAAATGTTTTTCACACTAAGAAAAAATGGTTCTTTTAAGAACCGTTGACTGAAAGGTTCTTTGAGAAACCTAAAATGGATCTTCTATGGCATCACTGCAAAAACCTCCTTTATTTTTAAGAGTGTATGCCTTTAGTCCAAAGGGTTCGTGAACTGTAATCATTTTAGTCAGGGTATGTGATTTCTTTTTAAACTTGCAAGTGTAATAAATGAATAGTTCAATTCAGCAGTGACATATTAAATTGATCAAAAGTCACTGAAAGACACAAAAGACTTTTACATTTGTTACAGAAAAATTCTGTTTCTAATAAAAACTGTCCTTTTGAGCTTTATATTCATCAGAAAAATTTCCGCAAAAACATTAAGCAGCACAACTGTCTTCAACATTGATTTAAAAAAAAGTTTCTTGAGCAGCAAATCAGCATATTAGAATGATTTCCGAAAGATCATGTGACTCTGAAGACTGGAGTAATGGCTGCTGAGAATTCAGCATGAAGCGTAATTTTATTTGGCCAAGGAATTAGTTTACTTGCTGCTAAAAACGTGGTGTTCGCAGCGGTCACTGTCATTCATGTCGGTGGAAATCATCAACTGACTTCCGTCTCTTTGTTGCTGCAAATGTCAGTGTGAACGCCCATAATGAGACAGTTACCTGTCAGACCAGCCCTGTTTTGTCTGCCTTTTTGTATAATAGCCACTATACAGTATTATACACCTGCGAAACCATAAATAAATGCAAACAAACAGCACTGTCAGGATAAATTACCCTGAAAGCATTTTATTAATTACTCTTGAACTATGTCATATAACGTGCAGGATAAACATGTCAGGATTTCCTTGATTTCCTCTATAAATTTACTAAAACATTCCTCCTGGACAAAGAAAATGCACTTACAGTACTTCTCTCAAGATCCCACTCTCCTCCAGATCGATATAATATTGAGTCGAGAGCCAATAGCACATTAATAAGGGCAATGCCATTAAACCAAGGTGCTTCCAGGATTTCATTTGATTAATTTCCTCATACGACGCAGGAAGCTGCTGTTTGCAGCGATGGCTAAATAAAGAATAGATAATTAGCACAGAGATGTTTCTAGTGTGGGTATCATGTCCTAATGTAGTAATTGTTATTGTCGTGTGCGTGTTCCCACTTTGCGCTAATGATTGTGTGTGTTTTTATGTCCTCATTTGATCTGTGCGATCTTGCTCTGTTCCATATGTGTTTATGTGATTTTCTTTGCTTCAGAGACTCATAATGACTTGCGTATGCTTCTAAACGACTGCGGATGGTAGCAAGCTTTCCAAGATGGAAGCTTTAGCCTCTGGGCTTCTCTAGTGGATTGTAAATTAATCTGTCTTGCTGGTCGGTGGATCGAAGGCTGTTGGAGAGGGCCTGGGCGTCCCAGTAAGGAGATCAATATGATTGAGCTGGGAATGCAGGCCTGCATCCACCAACAAACTCTTTCTCTTTCCTTCTCTCTTCGCCACTCCAATCACATTCTTCGTGTACCATCGGCCTGTTTTTAAACTGCAACCTCAGGGGTGCGGCCTTGCGATGGTGCCAGTTGGGAATAAAAATAGCTGCTCCCCGAATGCCTGTGTGTTTCCTTCCCATAATCCCTCAGTTTTTCACCAGTTTGAGCTCAGTATATTGGTTTGAAAATTATTTCACTGCTTTGGTGCGTTGAACGCAGGCAGATGAGAAGTTTGTTACGGTATCAGAAGCTGGGATGGCTCAGTGGCTTTGTTTGTGTGCTCACAGGAGATCTGATTCGGAAATGAACGGCAAGGCGGGTGGCAGGGGGCCCGTGAACAAAGTCAGTGAAGCAAACAGCAATGCCAACAATCTCAGCATTGTTTCTGAGATGCCCCCAGACTCCCAGAACTGCACACGGGTCAGTACAGCTGCTGTAGATGAACTCGTTTCTAGAAATAGACAGTATTTATTATTCATTTTTTGAATTTTGTTATTACTGTTAGTAGTAGTAGTAGTAGTAGTCACAGTAGTGATAAAACTGTTAATAACAATATAGTTATTAATAATATTTTTATTTCTATTAAATAAACTCCTGTATTCATTAATATTATTTAATGGACCTCAGCTAACATCAACTAACAATGAACAGCTGTATTTTTATAAACTAACTTTAACAAATAAATACTGTAATATTTTAATTGTTTTATTTAATTTTATTATAATTATTCTTGAATCTGAATTTTAAAATAAAATATTTTTCTTGTATATGTTAAAATTATTTAATGGACCTGTATTATTTATTTATTTATTTATTAAATATTTATGTATAATTTATGTTGTACAAATATACATTTTTAAATAAAACTATATTATATGATATGATATGATATGATATGATATGATATGATATGTGACCCTGGACCACAAAACCAGTTATTAGGGTCAGTGTTTCAAAATTGAGATTTATACATCACATGAAAGCTGAATAAATATGCTTTCCGTTGATGTATGGTTTGTTAGGATAGGACAATATTTGGCCGAGATACAACTATTTGAAAATCTGGAATCTGAGAGTGCAAAAAAAATCACCTTTAAAGTTGTCCAAATGAAGTTCTTTGCAATGCATATTACTAATCACAAATTAAGTTTTAATATATTTACAGTAGGAAATTGACAAAATATCTTCATGGAACATGATCTTTGCTTAATATCCTAATTATTTTTGGCATAAAAGAAAAATCAATAATTTTGACCCATACAATATATTTTTGGCTATTGCTACAAATATACCCCAGCGACTTAAGACTGGTTTTGTGGTCCAGGGTCAGATATTATATTATGTACCAGATTATAGACCTATTTCTATATTATCTTTAATATTTTTTATTTCAGTTTTAGTGATGTTTATACTTCAACTTATTATTTTTCAGTTAGTTACCAAAGCAACATTTCTCATTTTTAAATTAGAAACAACATCTAACATTTCTAATTGTATTTTATGTCAGCTGGATTTTAAAACTATTTTAGTTTCTAAAATAGAAACTGTCATCTGTTACCCAGAATGTGTGTGTGTGTGTGTGTGTGTGTGTGTGTGTGTGTGTGTGTGTGTGTGTGTGTGTATGTATGTATGTGTGTGTGTGTGTTTACTGTTAGTGTTATTATGTAAACACTCCTCCATGACTCTCCCACCAGGGCACGCGCACACCCACACCCAAGCGAGCCGCCATGTTTGGGAAGCGCTCCAACTCCATGCGACGCAACCCCAATGCTGAGGTGGCCCAGCAGGGTTGGCTTCACAAACAGGTACTATTGCTCATCCTTAAACCTCACCATCATCCACACAAGCAAAAACACTCACACAGCCCAAAGCCATAACTCCATAATCCGCACTTAAGCCACTCTCTTTCAGAAACGTCTAGGCACTTAGATGTAGTTTCAAGGCCTTGATTTATTTTTTCTTCTTCTCATTTTCTGTAATGCAGGCAAGCAGTGGTATGAAGCAGTGGAACAAGCGTTGGTTCGTGCTGACAGATCGATGTCTTTTCTACTATAAAGGTAGGTTGTTTCTATAGATGCTGGTTTATGCAGAAGTCATGAATTTGATGAAACATTTAGTGAGTACCCCAGAGCTCAAAATTTGTATGATTTTAAAGTATTTATTCTAAACCAGTTTGTTCTGTAAAACATTTTAATTTACCCAATGGCATTACTTTAGCACACTGGCTGTGTTCTGCCAATGGTGGAGAAGAGAAGTATAAAAGTAGATCTATAATGACAGTCTAGCACAAACACACAACCTCTATGAAGCCCTTAGGAATCTATTATCTGTGCTGTGTCAACAAAAATGTACTGTGGTGTTATGAAGCACTGGTTTTGAAGAACCTTGAGTTAATGCTACAATACTGTTCAAAAGTTTGGGATCAATATACTTTTATTCAGCAAGGACACATTAAATTGATTTAAAGTGACAGTAAAGACATTAGCTATGTTTCCATCCGCCTATTTTTATGGGCATTTTGGAATATCGCATAAAAAAAGATGCGCATAAATTCTAAAAATGCGCATAAAAACCTTATGCGCACAATTGAGCATTTATTGTTTCATCTGCTTGCTCAAAATTCACTGAAATAGAAAACAGTTATTTGAAATTGTAATAATATTTCACAATATGAATGTTTTTATAAATAAAAATGCAGCCTTTGTGAGCTTAAAAAATAATTCACATTTTTGAATGTTAGTGTACTATACTGTATATATGAATACTTAGAAAGCACCATGATACAGGCACTGAACCTTTATATATTTTTTTGTAAGGGTTACGTTGCACATCAGTAGTTTATATTTTTGTGCTGAGAATAGAGGATTTCATGTTTAGACATGTTTGTTTTGTCATGTCTGTTATTTCTCATGAACTCGGTGATGTTGTATTGACAGCCGCACAGGCTGATGAGTTTTACAGTACATAAACCTGAAGCATCCAACTTGTGGTTCTCTTCCACCCGAGGCATAGACAAGACATTAGTAATTACATTTGATTTGCTTTGGGATAATTACATGTTTTTACATGACATTTCAGTTTGCATATATATTCAGCTTGTTATTGGAAAAAATTCAATGAAGTGTAGCTGGATTCCTAAGGAGTGTGTAATGTCAGAGATCTAAGAAAATAAATTATGATAAGATTAAAAGTATTTTAAATGTTTAGGTAAAATTGTATGTGTTTGAGGTATAGTGTAAGTTCTAATAAAGGACCACTCCGAACTGTCATAACTGTCAGGACCAATATCGTCAATATAACTTACGTTTAGCATACATTTTAGGTTGGGGGGAATGGTTCTGTTCTGGGCAAACACTCCCTGCCCATCCACGCAGCCTAGCATGGATTGCAGCAGGGAGAGCAGAATACCTCCCCTAGGGTGACAGAACAGAACCAACATCAATGATAAATGTAGCAGATACCATTAATGTTCTACGTGATTATTTTAACAACATGATTCTGTGGTCTGACTCAATGATATATTCACTGCCAAATCCTGACTGGAAGAGAGGAGGAGCTGGGGATGAAGGTGAGTGGTTAGTTCCTGAGTGAAGCGATAGCTGCTGAATAATGACTGAAGGGACCTTATGAAGGGAATTATGATTGGTGTTGTGATCCTATAGGTAGACGAGGATCAGCTGAGTGTCAGCTGATGCGAGCTTGACTAACGTGGCCTGCC